GACCGCGCGATGCTCCTTACGTCAGTAATATTCAACCGTCCAGAGTTAATATGGTTAATCAAATTCACCTTAAGTTCCATATAGAGCATATAGGGCTCTATATGGAACTTAAGGTGAATTTGACCTTTGGAATGAAAACGTCTGCATTACAACAGCGAACGAAGGAACACGGACACAAGATAAGTAAACAAGTATAACGTTAATTTAATTCAAATAATCGAAAGGGAAAAAAACCTATAGAAATCCAACCACATTCGGTGTCCTAGTGCCCTTGATTCGACGCGTAATCTTCTCATGGATTTGGCAGTGAAAACAGTGTTGCATGCGTTTACAAAGCCTTTTACTAACCTGTATAAACAATGGAGGCCAAAAAGACAGAAGCGGTTCCGCCATTTTCCAAAGCATTAGCAAGTATATCTGCATTCTCGTAGTATGCTAACAAGCTAACATCAGTTATCCTTGTAAATCCATAAGCAATCCCCATCACAGTCACACCGGCGATCCTCAGCTTAATATCATCAATGGCAACTAGCAAAAGAAGTGATCCAACAAACAAGGAGGTCGCAAGGCAAAACGACACATTGAAAGATATCTTGCGAACAATGAAAGGACTGAGGGATTTGCTGAAGAGGTCGGCAATGGAATATGAAAAGAGAACCACCGTTGATGGCAAAAGAGTACCAGATAATATATCTTCCACAGCCATCCATGAAACAACTGCTTGTGGAAAAAGCGTCCAAAACCCCAACATGTAGAAAGAAGCTGTTAATAAACGATTTCTTGGTGGACCTTTCATGATCGCGTAGATCTCACTCGTGATTTACTCTCGAAATATTCGAGATTATCCCCTTGCAGAAGATTTATAATCAAAACTTCTTTCGTTTTCTGAGAACAGCCAGGGGTTTGTAAATCAGCTACTGATGTGATTTCTCATGCTTGGAGAACAACAAATGAATATACATATTTTCAGGAACGAAGCACTGTAGCAGTGAATTCCCCAAGCTTCACCGATTGCGGCATCCGGGCTTGATTGACCATGGAATACAATATCAAATCCCATTCATCAGTTATCAGTTTTATTCTTAAGAAACCTTTAGAATGCGTTTATTCTAAGACAGACATTTGCTATTTTCAGCAATCAGTGTCTGTTCATTGCCCTTGAAAACACACATAGATGTACCAACAACTCAACAAGGAATCTTATTCTCAAGAGAATAAAACGATGTGTGAAATGGAAAAAACATTACGTCTAGGTAAAAGGTATTCATAAGTAAGTATTCATAAGTAAGTAAATGTACGAAAAATTATATATTCTCACGTTAAAAGCAATTATTATGGTTTGGAGGATGCTTCATATTAATCTTTTGGGTCGTATTCCAGCAATGCTTCACTGATTATTTATTTTATTTTGGGGGAGGG